TCTCTCCGCTCGCAGTTGGTTTTGGAACACCATGACCATTATAATGAAGCAAAACGCGTTCTTCCTTGGCACTTTTTCTCAAATTTGTGCAAAACTTTTTCATCTCATCAACCGAAGGGTCTAAATATTGTTTATATCGAGTTCGAATGCTGAGCTGTTCATATTGAGCCTGAAGATTTTTGCCAATGGCGTCTAAAGCTTTCGTCGGTGGAACAGAAAAAGGATCAACCCAACATTCAAGTTTTGCGCAAGGACTAGGCTTTACAATGTCAGGTGGATCTACGCCGATATTTAGGCATAAGACTAAGGCACCTGACACCGTCTTGAGCCTTTCTCTCATTCTCCAATCTTGTACCGGAATTTCTTCTCGATTAGCCGTTCGGGAGGATCCGTGTCTGTTCTCATTATACATGGGTGTCGAAAATATTTTGCTCTTGGCGTAAATTTAAAAATGGCAAAAATGATTTTTGACAGCCAAAATCGTAAATAATTTAGTATGTCGAAAATATTTTAGTATGCTGAAGTTATTTCTGTATCTGGGGAATGTCGAAAAATATTTATAAATGTCATTTTTGCGATTTCCCGTGATTATTAACCAATCAAAATACATAATTTTTAAATTTTATCGTATAACGAAATATCAGATATAAAGAAGCTTATAAATAGATTAAGAATTTATATCATATATATCTACGCGTAAAAGTGCCAAGGAAGAACGCGTTTTGCTTCATTATAATGGTCATGGTGTTCCAAAACCAACTGCGAGCGGAGAGATTTGGTGTTTTAACAAGCATTTTACACAATATATTCCTGTATCCTTAGGCGATTTACAATCGTGGCTCGGTTCTCCATGTATTTATGTTTTTGATTGTTCAGCTGCTGGCAATATTTTAGAGAGCTTCAAACGTTTTTCTGAACAACGTTATTTGGAAAATAATAGGCCAGAATCTAGCGCTCCTTTAAATATTCAATTAGCTGCTTGTGGTCCTAACGAAACTTTACCTATGCATCCTCATTTACCAGCTGATTTATTCACATCTTGTCTAACTTCTCCAATCGAAATTGCTTTAAGATGGTTCGTTTTGCAAAATCCATTACCATCATATCTCACCGTTGATATGGTAATGAAACTTCCAGGGAGATTACAAGATCGGCGTACACCTTTGGGTGAATTAAATTGGATTTTTACTGCAATTACCGATACCATAGCTTGGAATGTTCTACCACGTGATTTATTCAAACAATTATTCCGCCAAGATCTTATGGTAGCTGCTCTATTCAGAAATTTTCTACTAGCGGAAAGGATAATGAGGCGTTATCAATGTAAGCCCATGTCACATCCAGAATTACCACCAACTCATGATCATCCAATGTGGGATTCATGGGATCTGGCTGTCGATATGTGTTTAGCTCAATTACCATCATTATTAAGCGCTGAAAATGGTGGTACAGAAGTCGAATATAAACATTCGACATTTTTTGATGAACAATTGACTGCGTTCCAAGTATGGTTGTCGAAAGGATCTGTGTCTCAAAAACCACCAGAACAATTACCCATTGTACTACAGGTGCTTCTTAGTCAGGTGCATCGGTCTCGTGCCTTGGGATTATTAAGTAAATATTTAGATTTAGGTCCTCGTGCAGTTAGTTTGGCATTATCTATAGGAATATTTCCTTACGTTCTTAAGTTATTACAAAGTCCTGCTGCAGATTTGAAACCACCATTAGTATTTATATGGGCTAGAATATTGGCAGTTGATAGGTCATGTCAACAAGACTTATTAAAGGAACATGGTTACAACTATTTTGTGAATATACTTTCTCCGAATAGCATGCTTAACATTCCGAATGAAGCTGAACACCGAGCAATGTGTGCATTCATTTTGGCAATCTTCTGCACTAATTTTAACCAAGGACAAGTTGCATGTAAAAAAGCTTTAGTTTTACAGGCTTGTTTAGCACGAATTGGAGATGTTGATGCTCTTTTACGGCAATGGGCATGTCTTTGTATAGGCCAATATTGGACAAATTATGCAGATGCTAAGAGTGAGGGTATCGAGAATCAAGCTCATTTGAAGCTTTTTGGACTTTTGAATGATCCTGTCCCCGAAGTTCGTGCTTCAGCTCTCTATGCTCTGGGCACCTTTATTGGTGACTTGGAACGTACAGAACAAATAGTCAATATTGAACATAATATTGCCATAAATGCCCTTGATGCTAATAATGATGCTTCCCCTCTTGTTAGAAGGGAACTAGTTATAGCACTCTCCTACATAGTGAATGCATATTCAGAACATTTTATACGTGTTGCTTATGAAGAATTGCAAGAAATTCATCGGCGCGTTGTCGCAACACGACAACGTCCTAGGGAAAGTCGACCTAGCTCCGTGTACACTTGCGTTTGGAAAGCATTACTTAATCTTTCAGCAGACCCAGATGCGGAGGTTGCACAACTTGCAGCAACAGTTGTTGATGCTATAAATACTCAATTATTAGAATCTTCACATATTGAGAATGTTACAATCGCATTACGGCAGGTGCTCCAAGAACAAGGTACACAAGATACAGAATCTTTTAGGGCATCATTAAATAAGCAACCATCATATGATGATATACTACCATTAAAATCGAAATTCTTTGATTGGAGTTGCGAATATTTCAGAGAGCCACAAATGAAGGTAAAACATCATATATATTATTGGTAAATTCAATAAGAAATAATGGTAAGTTTGTTCCTTTTATTAATAGCCCGCTGAATCCGAGCAATCGGGTAGCATCGATGATAATGTGCGGTCATGGCGTCGCAAAAGAAATGAAAACATAATTAAATCAACACAACCGCTTAAAGAAGTTGCTGGTGATTGTCGTTTAATAAGTTTCGTTAATCATGTTAGAAATCATTTCATTCTCTGATACAGATTTGTTAACAGGTTCTAGCCGATGGAATAAACAGATTGGTATATTTAATAATGAATCTGAGCCATCAAAATTATTATTTCATCAATTTGAACCTCATCTTGTTGTATCCAATGATAAGGATAATATAAGGTAGGCAACATAATTAAAAATTAATCATTTATTTTCATACTTAATTCTTTATATTTCAATATAGTATATGGAATTGGAAGGAGCATTACCGTATGCATTCTTTTTCAAACGGAAACCCAACAGGAAGTAAAATTACCACATTAAAATTCATAAATGAAGACGAAATATCGATGTTACTCACTGGCTCAAGTAAATAACATTATCATACTTTGTTCGTTATTAAAATAAAATGCAAACTCAATATTTTTCATCTCATTTGATAGGTGATGGTATCGTTCGTGTGTATCGTAACTATGATTCACCAACATCGTCAGAAATAGTGACATCATGGCGTGCAATGCCTGAAATATTACCGAACAGCCAAAGAAGTGGCCTTATTGCTGAATGGCAGCAATCTCGAGGGACTTTATTAGTTGGTGGTGATGTTCGAGTAATCAGAGTATGGGATGCACTACGTGAAATCACAGTTAGTGTAAGTTGCGTGTAAAGTTGATAAAGTTGATAAGTGTTAAATCATGTTAACCTGATGTGTTTTTTATTGTATAACATTAAAGGTTATACCTGCTCGATCAGGAAGTTCTATCACTAGTCTTACTAGTGATGGTGATCTTTTTGTAGCTGGTTTTGCAGATGGTGCAATTCGTATATTTGACATACGTATCCAACCTATAGATGCCATGATATTATCTAATAAAGAACATAAAAATTCTATAACGAACGTCGTATGGCAGAAAGGCGCAGGACATGAGTTAGTGTCCGGGAGTAAATCTGGAGAGATAAAAATATGGGATATTCGACATAATCGTTCAAAACGTACTATATCTAATGAACCCAACTCTTGTGAAATGAATGCAATGGATGTTCACCAATACGCAGATGTTATAGCAAGGTAAGTTTTTTTAGTTCGCTCTATATACTATATTTTTTTCTAATTATAATTATAACTTTATAAATAATCAATATAGCGTATATTCGAATCAATTAATAAAAGTCTGGAACACATCAGGAATAAATCTATCTTCGACTCGTTACAACACTGGATTCCTTGGGTGGGGTGCACAAGTTACATCGTTAGCACTCGCAGGTCATCACATGGTGATGGCAGTTGGTGTTACAGATAATTATATATCACTATACGGCAGAGATGTTACATTATAATATTGGACACTAGGTCTGAACCCGTTGCCTTGCAACGGTAATAATTCAATTAATTTAAATTATTAGTTTGCTATTTTATAATAAAATTTTAAATATTAATATTAAGAACAATTTTAATGCTTGCCAAAGATAAAATTTACCAGGTATGCTGTTTTCAAAAATGGTTATAACAATAAGTATTTGGTATACTAAGTAAAAATATTCAGCATTCTAAAAAATTTTAATGCTAATTTTCATTTTAATTTAAGCCTTAAACTCTAACTCTAAAGCCTAATACTAGTTTTTAAATTTTGTAATAAATTTTTTAGAAATTATATAATAATAATTAAACGATATTATGGTAAATTTTAGGGGAATTTACATATAGGGGCCCGAAAAGTGAAAATAATTACAAATAAGGGCCCAAATTGAAAATAATTACAT